ATAATGCCCTAAGTCACTCTTATGGTCAAATCTATTTGCAGCTGTTATGGAAGCAGGAGGGATATCTGTTTCCGTGTTTGTCGACGGTGCGGGATGAGAAAGAAGGGAACCAAGAACCATCCTGTTCACTAGGTTGTCAAAATAAGCTCGGGGAGCACGAAGTTGTCCTACGTGGCTGCTTTCGGTTATCTTTGATTGTCCGACTAACGCAAGCAACTTGGAACGCTTTTTCATATTCTTTCATCGCCAATATGATCGGGTTCCCATGATTCAATTTCCAGGATTGATTTAATATCAATTCTTTCTACGACAATGGCTGTTCGATTTATTCAATAAGCTTTTATCTTCCCACATAAATCCTCAGGAGTGGGTATCCTTTATCCAGGCGATCGATCAAAGAGACACGATCAAGAAAATGTATTAGTGGACATATTCAACAAATTCGTCGACCTGCTACGTGCATCCTATATCACGGATATTATTGTCAAGGACACGTTAGCCACAAGAGGAAATTTTATTTCAGGTGTGATAACGTGACCTCCGCAATAAAATTTTATCTAATGAACTTGGAGTATAAGAAACTGATAAGCAATGTATAGACGAGACAACGCAATGTGTCTCGAGCTCCCCGCGGTCGTTCGTCTCATTATCAAATATATCTTTAATGGGTCAACAAGTCAAAAATTCTTATAACAGTTCGCGACACACGCATACGTAACACCTGCAAGGGTAATTATCAAGAAAGCAAAGATCGGGGATGATCGACGGTTATCGTATTAATTGGCTGCTCTGCGGCACGGGCTGAGAATAGGTTATGTACCTGATCACCTGCACCCACATCCATGTCTTCCCTGTTCACATGGACTCCATCAGCGATATTTGGAGATTGCTGTTCGATCGCGACCAAAAGGTTCAACGTGCGCCAATCGAATCCTGCCACCACCATTATATGCTCACGTTACACGGTTACACAATTGTACGGAGCGATTGCTTCACCGATCGTCACAGAAACGAACGGACAGATTTTAAAACTTTACGGCCTGCTGCGATCGAACCACGACTTTTTTCTTAAACTTGGCTTCAATTGGTCATCGGAGTTCAATTTTTCATTTATTGATTCAACAAATTTAATGAGCCATGTTAATAAATTTAAAAAAATGTCATAGTTCGATTGCATCGCTCCTACTCGTAATTTGCTTTCAGTTTCAAAACAATAGAGAATATTGTACTGCTTTCTGGTGCATTATCAAATGGTAAGTTACATATATTAATGTAGTCAATACTTATTTTATCCTGAATTAGATAAGTAAGAGAAAAATACTATAATGCCTTATAAATGAAGAAACACACTCATAGATAAAACGGCATAAACATATTATTAAAAAGTATAAGATGTTTGATGTTAAATTGTAATTTATAAAATTCCTACCTTTCGAAGAGTCGTCATAACCAATGTGCTTTACTGTGTCTCGAACAATTTTCTGATAATCAACCACAGCCTTTGATGTGATTTCGCCACAGAGTAGGACCATGCCAGTCTTCGTCACAGTTTCTGTATTACAGATATAAATTTGATGGTAAATTATTATACTCAGGGAATTAGTTACTTAAAGCACATGATACTCCGTAAGATGCATTATAAAGTATAACACTATATTACTGATTAAAGGTACAATTTGATATAATTTTATGAACAAGCTAAACCAATATTAATGGTTTTTACCCTTTAGTATTTTGAAACTTGATACAGGATGAGATCTGGTAAAGACAGGCATGGATTCAAAAAAAGTAGTTCAGGGTTGCCTTGGCTAGCTTATAAATAGAGAGCATGGTACGGATGTATCGTTGTGTGTAAGAAAATTAGCAAGGTAACTATAACATTTACCACAGGCAACTTTGGCATTGGGATCTTGCTGTAAATGTGCATCCAGGATGGCATCGCTTATTTGATCACACATCTTGTCTGTAATAAGATTTAAAAAACTTGAATAAACAATCGTGAAATGAGTCATCGATGATCAATATTCTGCATGTGGGTGCATATAGTAACCGAATTGAGATATTTTCAAAATATAAAAATGAACAAATTGCAACATATGTATACACGAGACTAAAGGATCCAGAAGTTTATATGCTTTGTGATAAATTAATCAGTTATATAGATATTAATATCGGCAACTGTGCATGCAGAACTGGTTAATATTAATATTACTTAAGGATAGTATAACCAACGTTTGATTCAGTGGACAACAGCACCTAACAAAATCTATGATGTAGGCATGGCACAAAGACTTCACTATCATTATTCTGTAACCGTGAGAAAGTAGGAAACTCCACGAGTGCTGAGCACATGGCGACTAATCGGGCCATGTTGGTCCGTGTTGAATTTAAGCTTCTCAACAGTTCTTTCTTTGGCTCGTTTCCAGGATTTTCATTAAAAGGGCAAAACAGCTAGATCCGTGATCGTGAGAGACAGAAAGAGAGAGTGCGAGAAAGATGTATGCGAGGAATCACGTTAAAAAATCGCACAGTCGTCTGGTTACGATGTGAGATCCGAGCGAAGTGCGCACGCGGCTTCCTTCTTCATGGTGGCACGCGGCGCTTCGAGGGACAAGTTACGAGATGCGAAACTGCAAGAAAACGATATCATAGTAAGGTCGTTCGTTTATGAAAAGTTACCTGGATGTCCCTCGCCTACGGATTCCGAGGTGAAGAGGAAACTCGTTCCCTGCTGCAGCTCGGGCGCCGTGTGCCCGTTCGCGTATCCGTTCATGTGATGCGCGGTCTCCGGCATTTTCCTTCTTCTCGTTTCCGATTTTTTCCTCAAATGTTCTTGACACGGCTGTCTCTGACTCGTTCTATTAGCTTGCGTTATGTCTAGCAGTGGCTGCGGAACAGCAGGTATTCTTTGCTCTTTCTGTTACTGGCTTCGCGCGAGCGAGCACTACACGACCGCAACACACGACACAACGTTAGACGAGCAAATGCACCGCAGAACGTGGAGGAAGTAAAAGAGGCTCCCCGCTAGCCGGCGCCCTCTATTTATAACCTCGGTCTTCACAGTTCCGCGCTCGGCTCCTTTCGGATCACGTGACCGCTCGTTGCTACGGAAACAAGGTTTACTGTAAAATTCAAATGGTAGAACTTTTCCCGGCTCCCCAATTGTGGATTCACTTCTGAAAAAGAAGAAAAGAAAATATCGTCAACCTGGCACCCCGATGCTTTTTCCTTCTACACGTATTCTCTCGAATTATTCACTTTGCTAAACAATGATGCAGTTATTGGCTTTGATAAAGTGTGAAACATTAACTGTCGATAACAATAATTCGTTAGCGATCATTCCGAAAAAGATGCAGTCATGGAAATTCACAATAGGCTGTCATAGGTTCATTCTACAAATTACTAATAATTTCACTTACTGGACGATTAGCAACCAATCGTTCCAGGAATTTTCGGTAGGTCTCAACTTCTTGTTATCTTATATTCTTAGCAAGTAGTCAGCCGAGCACGGATCTTCTATCTGTTATTTTAATCTGTCTGCTTCTTTATGTCATGCGATATGTTGCCACGATGCTGCTGAATTCACACTGAGTATAAGCTGCCAAACGACAGCAGTATTATATATCGTATGCCTCGCCATTTTCCTCGAGTTTGTATGATGAAACATCTAAGTTTATAGAGCAAACATAAAAGTGTGTTGTCAGAATATATTTACAATTTACATAGATTACGATAAGTCGGGATAAACTTTTTTTTTAACATATACCTGTACGTTAACAATGGGACAGCACAAATAGACTCCTTTTGGCGAATTCAAATTCAAAAGGTCACCAATACTTCATTAGCACTTTTAAATAAGTCAGGAATCTTACGGATTTTTAAAAATAAAATTTAAAAAACACAAGATCAAAGCGCAAACGAAAAGAATCCGAAAAAACGACGATAGTGCCGTAAAGTTGGCAAATATATATGACAAAAATATAAAAAAGATACCAGAAGAAATATTATTGTTGTGCAATAACTAGTGGCGCAATATCAACGTTGACCTTACAATAATTATAACGTTTACAGAATAAAATGTGATAACACATAAATTAGGACATACGCGCATGTCTCTTCTTTTCGATCGATGGCTTCCAAATAACATGTATAATATACTACCCGGAATTTCCGCTAGGTCGGATGTTTCATTGGCTACTCATTCATAGCCGTGACTTTATCAGATATGAGGTAATATGAATTACTAGAAGGAATTTGACGCTTGATATTGAGATTTTATGCACTGGCGTCACTCTGACATCGGCCGTAGTCGATGGGCAGAGTTATTAGGATCACTTCGAGAGAGCGTGCCAGCTAATTCATTTTAATTTCAGTAACAGTTATTGCTCACTGCACGGTTACTGGTTTCTCTTGTTTCTGTTGTTTCCATTGATTGCTGATTCATTGCCATTATTCATTTTATCTTTGTAGGCTGACTCCACCAATAAATGAACAGGTTCCAGTAATCGGATGCGTTGACGTGAGTTGTATCTGTATACATATGTATAGTGATTTTGACATGAATCTCCATTCACTGATGAATTTGCACTACAGTAGACTTCTTTATAACGCGAGATGAAATTGTGTTGTACGAATTTAATTCTCAAATTCGGTAATTCCTGTGTTTTATTATTTGTGTTTTCCTGTGTTTTTCGCGTTATACGGGAATCTACTGTATGTACATATCTTATGAAAAATTCATCATATTCAAGATTGTTAGCGTAACGACGATAACCTCAGCACTGAATGATAGACTTCAAATGATAAGCTTTCAGTAAAAGTTATGGATGAGAATTACGAAACTTGACATAATAACGATGGACCAGAGACAACAGTCGGCAAGCGTATCGAAAGTTTCGGTGAGAATGTATCTTACAAATTTATAGGATTATTCGAATTGTCCCGTGACGTTTTTCTTGCAAATAAAACGTCATTTACATACATTACAAACTATACATAGTGATTTTAGGACGGGTGTCCATTCACTGGAGCAGTTTCTCAAGGTTTCTGCTGAATTTTCCCTATTGCACAAGATTGCGAATTGTGTCTTGGACATCTAGAAGCAAGTGACATCATCTCGTATAGCGTCTATCGTGATTAGGCATTATTATTATACAATATATAACAACTTGCATGTTTTATTAGAATTATCCCGAGTTCATCGCGTGGAATTGTAAGTTCCCCGTGCATTGGTTATCCTCTTGAAATTAATACATTTTTCATGCCATTCTATCGAGTTCATATAGAGCTTGGCGCTAATATTTATCTCTTGTAATTGCGTAACTAAGATTCGTTTCCCACGAACTTGATGTATCGTTGTCCACGTGGAATTACTCAATTTTATTGGCGTCACCTCATGAAATACTTGATGTTAGCGTATCATATCGATCTGCAATGACTTCGAAAGTCACTACAGAAAATATATATATATATATATATATACTTATATCCCAAAATAGGTCTTGCCCTTCTTTCGTGAAATACTCGAAGAAGATGGCTGTTCGAATTCAAATGAATGAGGGGTTACCTTACTGGTAGAAGCAAGGGGTCTACTTATATCCCAAAATAGGTCTTGCCCTT